TTTCAGGATTTATTATTCATGCCTGCTATGCTAGTGGAAAGCAGTTACATGAATATGCTTAGTATGCACAGTTCATATACAGTAATGAATTATTAATAGATTATATCTGTGAAATGTTTGCATAGAAACCAAAATTACCTTGTCTTAGAGAGTGGCCACTCTACAAAGCTTTAATACTTGAAGAAGGATAAATATCATATGGAATCTGCAGATAATGTTGGAAAAATGTACCCATACCCACCTTTCTCTTCTCTTTCTATGTGATTGTCTCCTATAAGGAATCAATGAATATATAAGCAAACACTAAAGAAATGAAATTATATCATTTGTGACAACATGAATTGGAGGTCATTGTGTTAGTTGAAATAAGCCAAACAGTAATTTCAGTCATGCATGTATTATTCAAAAGTTACTATTTTTGCTAATTGGAACTAGAATGATGATCATGTCAGCAGACATTAGGAATGCGGTAGTTTTTAAGAATAATGTTGCATAGCTTACTTTCTTTGCCTCATCCATAAACATTTCCCAAGGGTTGTTTGTTCTTTGTGGAATAATCTCCATTGCAATAACTCTTGTTTGCTCAAAAGTCATGGCTACTTGCCACCAGTCTCATCAGAAGACAGCCAAAGAATTTCTAGGTGCATCTCTGTCTAGCTTTATTCCATGAGTTACAATCCTTTAACTTAACTTACTTTTGTTAAACTTCACAGAAATGAAAATTAGAAAGGCAGATTTTAGTTGAGTGCAGACTTTGACCTATAGCCCTGAAAATCAATATAAGAATATGCAGGCATGGGTGGAACCAAGAAGAGAGCCATGTCAATAAAACTCCATAACATCTGAGTCAAGGATGCAGGAAACCCCCACCCCACCAGTTCTTACAACCATGTGATTAACAGTCATCTCCAAAGACAGCTTCCAAATCACTGACTCTAGTTCACAGTTGTCTACTTGAGGTTTCCCAAGATATCTTGTGGATTAGATAATGAGAAAGCATGAGATCACTTCCCTAACCCCCTCCAAATTGATGATTGTTAGATCACTGAAAGAAGGGCTTTGTTTCCTTACAGATGCTAAAGGCTACCTTATTTTCAATTATATTATATTCCCATCCCTGTCTTTGTTCCTTTTGTTGTGTTTCAGGGGTATGGTTTCATTTCTTCTGTGACAGGTCCCCTTGTCTTTTATCCCAGGGAATTTAGAATTACTTAATCATAGCATTCCAGTATAGTTAGCTCTCCTCTTCTTTCTTTCTGCTCCCCCACCCTCAAGGAATCATGCATGCTTCCTCTTTTTTTCTCAGAACATCAGCACCCTTGTGCATTCTCATATGACCTGTAAAGTAATTTATATTTGTGTTTACTTGTTTGTGTAGCTATTATAACTCTAGATTGCCACTCCACCTTGTAAAGAGTTGTTATCTGAGTGTATAAATATGGATGGCTTTTCTGTTTTAATATATCTTGATGCTTTCCTATGTTCCTTACATTTTTATTGGTTAAATCAAGCATTTTATTCAAAACATCAAACTTGATTTTTTTCTCTTTGCAATGGCACTTAAACACAGCTCAGGACTCAGCATAATTGCACTGAAGGAAAAGAGATGCACCTTCTAAGTTACAATACCCCATATCCATCTGTAAATACAAGATGCGAGCATGAACTCCTGATTTTCCAGAGGATCTGGGTTTCATTTTGAAACCCACGTAACACTTCAGATATTGTGCACTTTGGTAAGCAAGGTGTTCTTTAAACACCAGCACAGGCTTCTTGATCTGGAAGCAAGAGAGTGAGAAGAGCTAAGAACCCATGCACTTGGGGTGTAAAGTTGGAAGCTCTAGTGTTGCTTGCCACTTGGGCTTATAAGGATGTTCCTTGAACTGCAATGCACTCCTGGAGTTGAAAACCTAGCATTCTTAGCTGCTGTATATTTCAGGTGTATTAAATGACATGTAAATCCTTCTTCTGTCCTGTGACCTGCAAATGACACCCTGATAGTAGTCCTCATATTCCCCTTTAGTGAGATATTCCTTTTCCCTTTAACTAGAAGGTCTACCTCCTGTCCCTCCAGGTGGTGCATGAGGGTCATCTTCATCTCCTCATTTCAAAGAGGACAGAACCAGGTTAGAACAGTTTGTCATGCCTGTTGAAGTTCTGCTCCTTCTCCCACATGTGTAGAATTAACATGCCAAATGATGGCAGTTCTGCTAAACATGTACCAGTGGGACATTGCTTCAGACCAACCTAGAAAGGAACTTAACAAATGATATTCATCTACTCAACCAAAGGAACAAATTCACACAAAGAATTCCATCTGCTTCATGTAAAAGAATGACAGTTTTCCTTTAACAAAACTTTGATTATGTTTCCTTTGAATCAAAACTGTGGGACTTGGTGCCTTGGGTTACATTTTAAAACTCAGGTAATATTCTTAATTGTACTGATATATGTTCAGATCATGTTTCTTCTGAATTTTAATAGAGACAGTGAAAAGTCTCATTTCACACACAAGCGGTGGGGGGGGTGGAGAAGGAAGGAGCCCGGTTATTAGTTATTCTAATATCTGATTCTATCCCTAAGTCTCTACCTTACCTGGGTCACTAAACCTCTTATATTAAGTGTCCTATTTCTAATGGAAGATAGGTAGAATCTTTTGGCAGACTATGGATAGGGACTTCAATGTGTAGGCAGAGGGGAGGCTTTGTCTCACCTCCATGTCAGAAACAACTTATGTGTTAGTAAAGAACACTACAAAGAGCACCTCACTAAAAGGGCTTGGATGGAAATGAATAGAGGGACCTAATAAGAATAAATTTGTCTTCTCTCATGAACTGATAAAAGGTGGAATTTGGTTGTCAGGTCCTGTAAAAAGCCTGATTCAGACAAGCAATAGCAGGGCATCAAGAAGAGCCTTGGTGGATGACACCATTTTATCTCTGTATCTGTCTTTTGGGCTTGTGTAAGAAGAACTGTTTTTTGAACCTGGGTTACCCCATCACTGTCAGACTACAAGACCATGTACTGAGTTGATTGTTTTCTCCATTCTGTCACATGACCACATAAATAATAGTTTATCTTCTGTTAGTTGAACAACCAGTTTCCCTTGCAGTACTAATTCTCTCATAATGTGACATCTTCTAGGAAAGAGATAAAAAAAGCATGGTGTGTGGACCACAGCAAACACCATAGGACTTTTCTGGATCTTTGTTGGGCATGGGAATTTCCAGAAGATGAAAGAGAAAATGAAAATCCAGTTTCCCTTCTCTCTCAGTTAATCTGTTCTTCGTTTCCCTGATTAGCTGCCCAAATTATTATGACACCAAAATATAACCCTGGTTTGTAGAATATGTGACAGATAATGATGTTGGAGACCAGGCACTCTGATATCAAATTTTTCTGGATCTTCACTTCTGACTTTAAAGTATGACTCTAAGCAATATCCAGTGTAGCATTAATGTAACACCTAAAGAGAAAAATGTATGTAAAATGCTTTCTGCTTTTGTCACTGTAAACATTGACAGAATTTTTATGGACCATGGAAAAGATGGATACTTTAAGTATATGTTAGTAGTTCTACCTTCTCCTATGATTCTTGGTCTTAAACTTCCTAAATTTCTGTATTCTTCCTACTACCACTGATGGCACTGTGAAAAGTGACAGAAGGCATTGTGGAGAGTAATAGAAGGGGATGTTGTCAGCTTCATTTCTGGAAATAGAAAAAGGAATAAGCAATTCAAAGTGTGGACTTACATGTTTCTATGACATAGGGACATTAGAGGACCTGGCATTCAAGCCTAGTTCAGGTGATAGTCTGAGTCTAATCTTTGTTTCTTTCCTACTTTGATCCTCTCAAGACCTCATAGCTTCATTGTAATGTTTGAAGTTACCCGTTCCAGAAACAGCATCTAGAGAATTATATCGTACTTGGGCTCTTGAGTCTCTGCTAATGTGGATGTGCCATGAATAACCTCAAAGTGACAGGCTTATTTACCAATGGCTTGTCTAAAATCAAGTTTATTTCTTTTTTCACTAGGAAGCCAATTCCATGATGGGACAACACCAAAAGAAAAAGGCTTTGAAATTATTCTCACTGACCAGTATAGCTGAAATAGACAAGAATGTAGATGAGAGCATAATGGTTGACTTTGGACAGTCATGAATTTTTTCTAAGCTTTTGTTTTCTCATGTACCAAGTGAGAATAATGATAATAATTACTGCAGAGCCAGCTTTACAGTAAGCACAGAAACTAACAACTACCTGAAGATGAAAAAAGAAATATATTTATATCAGTAAATTCCCTTAATGCTACAACAAAAAACCTGACCAAAGAAAATTAAAGATCAGGAAGCTCACAGTTGGAGGGTAGAGCCCATTATGACATGAAAATTACAGAAGCAGGTATTTCAGGAGGCAGTTGGTCACACTCCATCCAGAGAAACAGACAGCAATGAGTGCTAGTGTTGAGCTTGCTCCATTCTTTTTATTCTGTTCAGAACACCAGCACATGAAATGGTCCTTCCCACAGTTTAAGTGGGTCTTCCTACCTTAACTAATCGAATAGAAATAATCGCCATTTCCCAGTGACTTCACCTACATGAGTCAAGACCCTCAAGCTGACAGCATTAATCATCAATCACTGTTGAAGACATTTGTCCCTGGTTTAGCTCACTAAAATGCAAACCATTTATTTATTTATAATTCCTAAGGTTTTCAATGTGGATTTCACAGTGAAAATAGTGTTTGTACACCACACCTCTTCCTTACTAATTGAATTAGAACCTATTTTATAGTTTAGCATGCCTGTGTGTGTGTGTGTGTGTGTGTGTGTGTGTGGGTGCACGGATGTGTGTGTATTTGATATTCATCCATCTATTCTATTGATGGACACAAGTATATAAATCTCCAACCTACCACTTGTTATTTTTCCTTTCATTCATTCTCCACATGGTTGTAGTAGTCTCTATGAGTTCTGACCTTCTCATTTAACTCTGTTTAGGGTTTGATGCTTACTTCACATCCCGCACACTTGAGAACAACAGGAGAAATGTATGGTTTGCTGAATACTGGGAAGAAAACTTCAACTGCAAGTTGACAATTAGTGGGTCCAAAAAGGAAGACACAGATCGCAAATGCACAGGTAATTTCATTCCCATTGTCCTCCTCTTGTGACTTTATATGACCAACATTGAGATGTCTGCATAGCTGACAGAAGGAAGCCTGGCTGGAGACAAATTGAAAAAGTAAATTGAATTTTACTAGATTGTTCAAAAAATAGATCAGGAGCATAACTCTTGCAGGTCAAGGGAAATAGAGACAAGAATGTATTCTTTTCTGCCTGTCCATCTCATTGTAATTGGCATTTCCACTGATCTTGGGATCTTGTTGCTCCAAACACTCTGGTTAATAAATACTAGCTTATGTTCTATCCAGGAGAATGAAGTCATTTTCACAAAAACGAGAAACCCTAAGACATACCGTACCAGGACCAGTAGCAACTGTTACTATCATTAGTATATCTGATCCAGTTTATAGAATTCTTGAGATTAAAATAATAAAAATTGTTAATGATTTTCCTAATGTATAAGTGAGTCATTTGCTATTTAATGTATGCTGAAAATATTCACTGCTTCTCATACAAGTCTTTTGTGAATTTCTTCCCAGTAAAAAGAGTGTAAATAGATAAAGGGGAATGTAGACAGTAGTTCATTTACCTTTTTACAGATACTTATTAAATAATCTCCCTTCTTCTAAGCACTATCCTAGCCACCAGTTATTTTATGGTGAGACAAGCATCCTGGGCCTCTGCTTTCATGAGGTGTAGAATTTACTATTGGAGTAGGAGAAGGGCATTGACAATGCTTCAGTAAATTTTTCACATAAACTAGGTGTCAGCTTGGATTACAAGAATATATAACAAAGGAATTTCAGTTGTGTTGAAGGCAAGAGCTTTCCTCCAAAGACTTCCTTGAGGGAATAATGCTTCATCAGTATCTGTAAATGGATTAGACAACAGCTAATTGGTTAAAGAGAAAACTGGGTGGAAATTCACTGATAAAGAATATCATGACACAGATCTGTGGCAAGGGGATTACTGTAATTCGAAGGATACAATGAATCCCCCCAAAAATGGTGAATGAGCTACATTCACATTGGGGGAGAATATGAGTAACCAAGGCAGAATGAATGTGGTAAGGAAGTAGCAGCCAAAAGAAGAGCAAATACTGATTTATTTGATCAAATTTGATATTGATTTGTATTTAATCTTGTATTTGATCTTTAATTTGATTGCTGAATAACTATGAAATGCTGAATAGAGCCTAGTAGCATTCTAATACTACTCTCTAGTAGCCCTCAACATTTGTGATAGTGATTTTCAGGTATCCCAACACCCTACAGTGTATGCTCAGTATGATTAAGCAAGGCAAGGCAGGGCAAGGGCAGAGGGAAAGATAAGGCACTAAAGCCCTTGTCATACATGCATAAGTACTCATATTAGAGAAAAAGCAAATGTATGGTGATATGCACTTGAATCCCAGCACTGGAAGGCAGAGGTTGAATCCTGAGCTTAATTGACCAGCCATCCTAACATAATGGTTGAGCCCCAGGACAGTGAGTGTCTCTTTCTCAAAATATAAGGAGGAATGTGACTAAGGGTGAATGAAACCCCAGGTTGTCCTCTGGTCTTTACATGTACACATATATATAAGCACACACACACACACTGTCTATCTCTAACTTACTATCTTTCTCTCACCATGTTGAAGTCACCTTAGACACATACCTTACTTAGTTTATCTTTGCAGCCTAACTCTTTATATTTTAATCATATGAATGTTATAGATTGAGTCCCTCATTTAGAAAATATTAATTAGGTAGAATGTATATGGTATAAGTACTTAAGATATTATGAAGGATTTGAGAATACTTCAGAGCCCACTTTCTCACAAGGAGGTTTCTGTGAAAAAAGAAGATGTATGGTAGAGAGACCATAATAAAAATATTGCTGCAGAATCAATAGGTTACAGATATTGGAGGTATCATGGCTAACTAGAATGTCAGACTAACCACATTCCCTGTTCAAACAATATATAAAAGCACAGTATTCTCAGAAACATGATTTTTCTATTGTTGGGAAGAAAGTGAATAAAATTGATTCAATGTTGACTAGACCGAGGTGACACAAAGCTTTCAAGTGGAAACTGAAAAAAATTAGTTTGACATCTGGATAATTTGTCTATAAGACAGAGAACACTCAAGTGTACGACAGTATGCAGATGATGGATGGCAGTTTCCAGAGTGTTTCTGACATCCGATGTTCTGTAGAATGGCTGGAGGTGGAATGGATTGTCAAAATGGAACTTAGGCTTGTTCTTATCTGAGGCCAAGAACTGTCTTTTTGTATGCTCTAACTAAGAATGTTCTATGAATAACCACAACTCGGTGCTGAGAAAAGAAAACTGTAGTTTATAAAAAAGAAAATATGCCCAATCCACCACCAGATATGGAAAAAACATATTGTGTCTTTCTGTTATATTCTTCCTAGGGTCAAATTTACTAAATTACTGATGATCCAAATTATTCTCTTATTCTCACTTCATACATTCTTCTTTATTAGGCAATGATTTGCCTATGGAAAGAACTAATTACTTATTATTTATAAAATTAAAATATACATGAAATTGTGATTATACATAAAAAATTTTTTTAAGAATGGCTTACTCAGTAGGGGCTGAGTAATCTGACAGTGACCACTTGTTCACTTCAGACACTTGGAATCAGATAGCTGCTTAGTAGGTGCCTCAGTAGTCCTAATCTGAGGACTTGGAAGGACTGGAAAAGTCCCAGAGAGTTGCTGGTCTTCAATTCATGTGGAAGTAAAAGCATGCTGGAAGGAAATGTCTGTCAAGGATGGCAGCCATAACAGCAACAGCAGCGGTAGCATAGATGCATTCACTCAGAGAGAAACAAAGACAGTCAGCACTCCTTTTTCCTTTCACCTCCTTCTATCTGGTCAACTCCTTGGAAGGTGCCAAAAACAGATAGTGGGTCTTCCCCATTAGAAAATTCCTGGAAGTCACCCTCACAGACATGTCAGAATTTAACTTGCACATTGAGAATCAAGTTTAATCATCATGTCTTTCTTTAAATTATTCCTGTTAGTGAAACAGAGTGTATTAAGTGGTAGCAAATACTATTACTATTGTATTGTCTTTAGTCTTCAAGCTTGCAGATATAAATGCACAAAATACAAAGGGTGCCAGTTTTTGGTTTTGTTTTTCTTCCCTGCCCTTTTCTTTTCTAAGCCTGACTGGACTCTGATGTTGCTTTGGTAGGATTTCCTAAACACTGTTTAAAATATCTTGACATTTAGATACACCTCAATCTTGGAAATAGAAAGTGGTAGGAAAAGTTATGCTGATTGATAGTCTAGAGTGAAAGCAGAATTAATGGCAATAGGTTAGAGGGAAGTCCTTGAAACCTTGATAACAAACCAACTTAATCAAGGACATGGAAAGAAGCAGGAAGCACTGGTGGGCTTTGGGAAGGAAAGCTGCATGATGTCTACATTTTGTAACAGTAAAGAAAATAAATGTCTCAGAAACAAGCAGCCACACTAGGATACCATGGAATTATCAATTTGACATTATAAATTGACAGCATTGAGCCAGTGGATATTTTTGCAGGAGGACTGGAACAAAATCAAAACCAGCCTCCTTCATTCCTTCCTGTGATTGTACTCTGATGAAAAATCAAGTCTTCTAAAATTATGAAAGTGAAGATGCTTAAAATATTATTTCTTTTCTTTTGCTCGGTGTAGCATCTCAAGCTATAAGAAGTTCTATTTCCGTATTAGTTCTGGGCAGACCAACATGGAATCTCCATCTTATGTACTTTGATACTGAGGAGTGAGATCTGTAGCATTTGAAGAAAGCAGATTGCTTTTCTAATGCTGTAATGAAATCCACAAGGTCACATACAAGTAAAAGGGGTTTAAAAGGAAAAATAATGGTTGAATAAATTCAAGAAATAGAGAATATTCTTTGCTCCTGTAGAATTTTGGGGGGTTCTGGGGTACAGACAATCTTAAAGCAAATATTCTGGAAACTATCTAGCCATCTGTCTCAGAAATTACTTGCATTCATTTGACATATCTATAAGGCAAACAATATTTCTTCATTGTTCCATATCTTTAAAATATTCCAAAGCTCTAGTATATATTCCTATTTCCAAAAGGTAATCATCTTTCTCCTACTGTCACTTGTAATTATTTTCTCTGCTACTAGCTGAACATTGGTAGGAAGTGAACTTTTACATGACTCCTTTTGGCTGAAATCCTGAGAGTGAATGTGTGTAAAATGGTCCACCCTTTTGCAGAATCTAGAGTCCCTATATGATGGAAGTCACTGTCATTTGAGATATTTCATGCTAGGGATATATAATTCCATGGAGACAGTGTTAGAGCCACACACTAGGAAATCAAACCTACTAGACAGTTCTGATGGGGGAAGTCCTTCTCTGTATATGTTTGTCTTATGGGCTGATTAATAAAGCACTGTTGGCCAATAGGGAAGCAAGTTAGGTGGGACTAGGAGAGAAGGAGGATTCTGGGAAATGTAGTAAAGAAGAGTGGCCATGTGATCGCCAGCAAAAGAGGATGCATATGGCCGGCGTCCTCGATAAGTCTTTATAAAATATATAGATTAGGAGTTATGGTTGATAATTAAGACTGAGCTAGCATATAAGAAATCCTAGTCATTGGCCAGCCACATTGCAATTGATATAAGACTGTGTGTGTTATTTGGGGGTGGCAGAACTTAGGCGGCTGGCAGAAAGAGTTATCATTACACAGTTGAATGAGAATCATTTGTCCTTAATCAGCAGAAAGAGCACACGGATTTTATTTACTAGTTGTACATGCAGCTCCTGATTCTAAGCCCACCAACTAAGCATGTTTCGCCCTAGGACTTGGCCCAGTACTACTAGCATCATAGTACAAGTCTGGTCCTAGTCTGATCATGCTGAGGATGATGGTTCTTTGGAAAGCCTAAGAAGAGAAGAAAAATGAAATGATGTCCCAGGAAACAAATAAAGGCAATTGAGGAAATGTTTCTACCAATGTAGTTAATAATTTAATAA